GCTCTATAAAACTGCCCATTTGAAGGAAACTAGTGGAAATTAGGAAAGCTGAGAATTAAACTTGCATCTCAAAGCTACCAACGGGGTATTTTTTTTTTTAATTGTGTTGTGTTTTTAATCTGACAAGAAATGTTTGCAAACTGAGATAACAAGGTAAAGCAAAGACAATACCCTACAAACTGAGCACAAAACAGAATTTAACAATTCTGCCATATCCCTGTTTATTATTGTTTTCTTAAGTAGTGAGAGAGTCACAACTTTTTTTCTATTTATTTTTTCTTTCTTATTCCTTATTTTATTCTCTTTCTTTTCTTTCTTTCTTTTTTTTTTTTTTTGCGGTACACGGGCCTCTCACTGTTGTGGCCTCTCCCATTGCGGAGCACAGACTCCGGACGTGCAGGCTCAGCAGCCATGGCTCACGGGCCTAGCCGCTCCGCGGCATGTGGGATCCTCCCGGACCGGGACACGAACCTGTGTCCCTTGCATCGGCAGGGGGACTCTCAACCACTGCGCCACCAGGGAAGCCCTATATTCTCTCTTTCTTTTTCTCTCATCTGAAATTGGGCCATTGAAGACACCTCAATAATAACTGTAAAAAGATTAACTGAAGAAAGATGATTGAAAAAACTTGTTTGGGGCATAATGCATTTTATTGTTCAGGGTAGGGGTGAGCATTTATGGGCCTTTTGGGGCAACTGGGGCTTTGCAAAGAGTTAAAAGGCTTAAGACTAATATGATCACGGGAAAGACTTTATATTGGTGCACCTGGCCCATCTACAGGTGAGGGCACTCCCAGGGGAAAGCAGTCCAGGACCTGTCACTGTGGTGTCGTTCACAGGACCGAGGACACCAAGGAGACAAGGAATACAGCCCCACTCAAAGGCGATTGCAGAGCTGACCTTGATTCTGTAGAGAGTTCAGGGAATGGCTGCCAGAATTCAAGGAAAGAATTAAATTGATCGCCATGAATGAGCTACACTGGATTCTTTTAAAAATTAAAGAGAAAATGATATCACAGCACTGTCCCATTCACTAATTATTCCTGTATCTTGACTTAAAGTGTGACCATAAATAAAACACCTTCCATTTTCTAGGTCCCAGAGTTCAGGCTACTGTAACACATTACCACAGACTGGGTGGCTTAAAGAACAAACATTTATTTCTCATGGTTCTGGAGCCTGGAAGCCCAAGATCAGGGTGTCAGCCTGGGGTTCTAGTGAGGGCTCTCTTCCTGGCTTAGCGAAGTCTACCTGCTTGCTGTGTCTTCACGTGGTAGAGAGAGAGCGCTCTGGTGTTTTCATCCCTTATAAGGGTGCCAATCCCATCATGGAGCTCTCCATCCTCATGACTTCATCTAAACCTCATTACCTCTCAGAGCCTCCACCCCCAAATTCCATTACATTAGGGATTAGGGTTTCAACTTACAGATTCTAGGGGGACACGTTCAGTCCATAGAGGTCACCTCTAAGTTCCCTTCTCTCTGATTTTCTACATGAAGATTTCCTATTGCCGCCAAATCAAATTCAAACCATCTGTCCAGCTTTCAAGATCTTCCATAATTGGGTGCCATCCAAGGTACCAGATTTGCTTACCGCCTTCCTTCAGGATGACCCCGCTTCCCTTTAGACCAGTCTCTGGTCTGCTCTCCCTACAAACTGTAAGCCGTCACCTCCACTTTTTTCTCACTCTCATTCTCCTCTCTTGGAGTGTACTGAACTCTCCCCATTGACTCAAGACCTAAGCATTTCTTGGTAGACATTCTTCTAGTCCCTGGACCATCTCACAATGAAGAATAACGTTAAATATACAGTTTTCCTTCTGTGTAGCAGAGGAAGTTTTAGGGTTTGCACTGAACAGGATTTTAGAACGGAAAATGTTGCTTCACATTGTTTTAGTTCATGTAAATGCCAGTTTTAAAAACTTGAAATTGAATATAATATGTACAAACCTTGTCCTAGAGCTACTGTTATTAATCCAAAACAATCAAAGATTGACAGTATAGGAAAAGACAAAGGATATCAATTTAAGGTAAATTACAGCTGAATATATATAGGATCATACTTTATATCTTTACAAATACCAAGTGAATTCTCTGATATTTGTGATAATATAAGAAAGCCACAGTATTAAGGATTTGCCATTCATTCTAACATTTTGCTAAAAACCATTCATATGTCTACACACTAGGATTCAGTATTAAATATTTATTCAAAAAAATTCCAGTTTGCATTTGCTCCCCTGGACTTGATCTATGGTCTAATCTTTTAAGAAGTTCTGAAGATGAAAGCAATAAAAGACATCCTTGCCTCTGATAATTATCCATGATAACTCATTATTGATTGCTCTTATGGATAAAGTGCATACTACAATTTAAAGAAACATCTGTAATGATGATCTGAAATTACATCAAAAGAATAAGAATATTCTAAAAGCAGAAAGCTTTTTATGCACCTTTATGACTGCTCCACAGGAATGCTTAATGTGTCTACTGATAATTTGGGATAAGCAAAAGGCATAAGCAGACAATTTATAAGTGAGAAAATGGAACCTTTGGAAAAAATGTCAATATCACTACTAATGACACAATATCATTTTTCAACTATACAGATAGTAATGGTTTTAAGTGCAGTTGGTGTTAAAAGAGATGAGACAAAAGTACCTTCCAGAGTTGAGACCATCTCAGTTACTTGCAAGGTAGAGGGATGTGTGTGTTAGACAGACTCCTTTTGCCTCTAGATCCACGCTCCATCCTTTTCTGCCCTGGTCGGAGCCCTGGGAGTCTGACCCTAACAGAGCATCAGTGGGGCTCTCTTGCCTCTGGCTTCCAATCAGCCTCAGCCAATGGGAGACACCAGCAGGAGATCGGCAGGCAGGGATTGGCAGGGGTTGTGTTTCTCTCCTGAAGACCATAGCTCTTAGTGGATGCCTTTTTCTATAGCTACAAGTCTTGCTGGTTTCAGGTAACTGCTCCCGTTCCTGGCCATTTCAGGTTAAAGGATGGTAGTGACCCCTAACTGTTGAGCTCTGGAGTGCTTCTCCATCCCTTACTGGTTTTCCTTGCCTCGGCCACACCTTATAAATTATTGCTATGTTAAATCCCTTCCAATCATCCCTTTTGAGTTTGCCATCCACCTCCTGCTGGATCCTAAAGTATGCAGTACACTTCCACGTCCACTCCGGACCCTAATCAAGTGAGGACATTTTTCATCCCAATCAACTCCTCCCCTTTTCCTTCTATAGCGCATGTCTATTGTTTTTGCTTTCCCAGAACCCATTCAGTCTTTTCCTTGCACAGCAGCCTAGTTTTCCATTGGAGAACCACCTCCCTGCAACAAACGGGGCACATGGTTTGGATCAGGCTGATCTTAGGACTTCTGTGGGAACTAAGGAGAGCAAAGAGGTTTCTATTCACTGAAATAGCCAGCTACAAAAACAAATCAAAACAAAACCGCCCCCACGAGCCTGAAACTCTTAGGCCAAGTAAAGGGGGCTTGCTAGGGTATAAACCAACAAAGTGGACAGGGTACAAAGAGATGGAGAGGCAGGTCTATTATTATTATTTGAGTCCCTGGATCCCACCATGCCTGAAGCTTACCCTTGGACACTGTAGTTATCAGAAGTGGTAGGTCCCCTTTCATGCTCAAGCTGAGTTGAGCTTTCTGTCACTTGCAACTGAAAGATCCCTGACTAATGAGACTTCTCTTAATAAAAACACATACATTTGGAGAGAGTAAAAAGTGGAGAGGGTTAGAGAACGACTTCTAAAATGCTATCATCCAGATTTGCAGTGTTGTTTTCATCAGGAATCCCCACACATGGTGTCATGAGAGACTACCTGTGGTTTTTGTTTATTATGATCTCGGTGCCACCACAACCTGCACTGTCCCTTTAGTCCTTTGAAACCTGTGAGAGATAGGACAATACCAAACCAAACAGCCCACTTTGTGTTGAACTTTGTGGCTGAGACCCACACATGAACTGATGCGAACAAAGAACAATGGTGGAAAACTGCCGAATGCTGTGTTCAAATATTTTCAGGTGCCATTGGACCGGGTCTTCTCAGATGACATGGTTCACTGGCAGGAAAGCTGTTATTGCAACAATCATTATTCCCATTTACCACCTATTAGAATGTGAGTCACTGGGAGGTCAGACTGTCACCAAAGCCCAGTGTTCCTGAGCACTGAAGGTCAAGTTCAAGGGACAGCAATCAGATGTAAGGGCAATGGCAAAGGCTCAATCCTTTGAAATCAAGAGGAGGGTTAACTCCCAGGAGATTGCTGCAGTGAGTTTTACTATCTTCAAGGTATCACACCACTTGGGAAAAGAAGTCAGAGTGACAGTGTTACCATGACCCTAGGTCCCTTCCACAGCAGCTGTCCTCCCTGGGGAAAGACAGTAAGCATTTTTTCATCTTTATACACCCCTCCCCACTCCTGCCTAGCACAAAATACGTGCTCATAAATGATGACACATTCAGAGCCTGCTGGCTTAAGAATACAACTTAAAGATAATATACAAGAGTCAGCATGGAGTAGCTGCTTAAGAAATCCTTGCTGTTATTATCATTGTTATTATTTGTAAATGCATCGATGTTAACAAGCAGATCCATCAAAACCCACATGAACCCTCTTTTAAGCAACAATTTCAACTTCTTTACCTCCCAAGGAGACAGCTCTCTTGTGAGTCTGAGTTATTTCCCCTGCCCTTCCTGTGTACATATGAGAATCAAACTGTCCGGTCACTTTCTCACTCATTCATCCATGCAACAGACAAATTAGTGACCACCTGCATTTTGCCACATATTGGACCGTGTGTGGGGAATCAAGGTTGCTGAAGACACAGCCCCTGCATAATGCAACGGAAAATCTGCTGGACAGAGACGAGAAATCCCAATGAGAGAATCAGCCTGTGGAATGAGGTACCTGACTTCAGTGGTTGCAGCAAGTGCGGGGAAAGCCTGGGGAAAATGCCTACGACGGGGGGAATGTTTTCCTTACCTTTTCTGCAAGCCAGCCAAGATGCCTGATCTCCCGGCTCCCAGCAATGCCCGTCTTCCCCAGCTGCTCTCGGACCTCGGTGATCACTCGGGTGAGCAGGTCACTGACGTTGCAATGGATGGCAGTGAACCAGGCCTGGGCAGTGGCTGAGTCCTTGCTTCGCAGGATCACCGTGTGCTTAGCATCTGGAGAGTGGATTTCAAGTTGCCTAGAGAAGCAAAGAGAGAAGAGTTGGAAAGTTCCCTGGCAGATCATGCTTCCTAAGTCCTGGGCCTCAAAGGTGAACTAATTCTTTGTTTTCTTTTCCTGTTATACATCTTATTTTAATTGTTAGCTTTTCAATTAAGATTTTTGAATTTATTTTTCAATTGAATAAAAGATTCTTTATAGTGCTTTACAATTTTCAAAAGTTCCATGCAGATGAGAGTTCACCTAATTCCGTAATAACCTTTTTCCCCACCTCCTACCTCTATATTGCCTCTCCCCACTAAGTTGAACAAATTCTTTACTCTTACATTTAACTCGTTTCCCATGGTTTACCTTAATGCCCCCATCATTCATTCATTCATTCATTCACTCACTCATTCATTCATCTACAAACACTGACTGTACGCGGGCATTGGTCGAGGTACTGGGGGCCTAGCTATCCAACCATCCAATCACCTGAGTTAAGGATGTCTGGTTTTCCTGTTACTCAGCTGAGTGGCTTTTTAGTAGTATCATATTAAGACTTCCAAACTGTGAGCTGATATTACTTTACCTTACCTCTCAATCCACAAAGGATTTTAACAATATACTCACAACCTAGCTGCTGCTGGTGGGAAGTAGATTGAAATATCTACCCACTTGCTTAATCCTACTGCTAGGGTTAATTGTGAATTAGCATCAAAGACGACCAAACTGCATTCTTTAAGAATCCTGTCTGTGGCTCATTTCCCTACCACTTAATACTTGGACAAGTGTAGTGCAGGAGTGAGTTGGCCGAGGAAAGGGTAACAGTGGGGAGAGAGATGCACGAAAAGTGTTGTTTATTTATTTTTTTTGGCTGCGTTATGCAGCTTGCAGGATCTTAGTTCTCCGACTAGGGATCGAACCTGGGTCCCTGGCAGTAGAAGCACGGAGTCCTAACCACTGGACCACCAGGGAGTTCCCAAAAGTGTTATATTTAAAGTCAAATACCAAAGTTTATGCCAGAACTCCAACGGGATCACCTGAGATTCAGAGTGAGATCTACATACTGTAATTATGGTAAAAGGCAGAAATTCTAGACAGATCCTTTTAGTTTTTAACTTTTTGTTTTGAAATACTTACAGATTTACATGGCATTGCAAAATTAAGACAGAGAGGTTCAGTATACCCTTTACCCAGTTTACTCCAATGTTTCTATTTTACATAACTCTCCCCCCATTCACCCTCACAGTCACAAGTGCTGCCCTCCCCTCCACCATCGCAAGTCCCTGGCAACCATTAACCTGTTCTCCACATCTATAATTTTTAGACAGATAATTTTTATTGCAGAGAGAAAAGCATACATTTAATTTATTCATTCATGTATGTATACATGCAAATAAATAACATTTCTTCACTCATGTTTGCATTAGAAAGATACAGGGATTGGGAAATTCAAAACTAAATGAAATGATCCATGTAACAATTTCCCTTCATCCCTCAATAATTATGCTAACATTAATCGAGTATTTACTATGTGCCAGGCAAAAATTTAAACCCTTTTATATTATTTTTTATAATTTTTGTAATATCCCTATGACTGATATTATTTACCTCATTTAACAGGATAAAAAAAAAAACAAACTAAAGTTTGGAGGGACAGAGAAAGAACTGACTCAAGGCCACAAAGCTGGTGATACTGGGATTCAACCCATGATGCTGAGGCTCAAAAGACCATGAATGTAAATACTGAATTACAATGCCTCTCCTTTAGACTGGATGACATCCAGTAAGGGAGCACCCGTTGTCCTTCTACAGCTGTCTCAAGGCATCATCACCAACAAATATGCCCAACAGTGTCCTACTTAGCTCCTAAATTTAAAATAACAGTTTTGCAGATCACCAGAAAATTAGAAGTCCCAATGTAACCTGGCCCCATTTACATTTGAAACCAACATTTTAGAGTGAGTAAACCTTTTCTACCCATAAACTTAAATGATAGAAAAAGAATTATTTAAAAAGTAGAATATCTCTAGGGGAGTTTTAGCAATAATTAGCGGATTTTTTTCGGTAAGAAATTTGCAAAACAAGTCTTCTCGCTAAGACTTCAAAGGTTTTATGTGATGAAACAGGGAATTTTTTAGGTGACATGTGTTCTTACCCAGAAGAATATACTCTCATGCCTCTTAGGCACTTTTCAAAGAAATGGGTGGTCAATCTAGGGTGAGTTTTCCTTCCCTCCCAAAGTTCTTACTCCTCAGTAAAGCTGAGTAGCCAAACACAAACTAGGATTCTCCAAAAACATTACTGAGAGCTCAACTTGCTTTTCAAATTATTCTATCAATATCCATCATTCTAGGAATTTAAAACATGCAAATATTTTTCTCTTAGAATATTTTCCTTTGAAGACCTGGATTTTTTTTTTCTTAATGACAGTTTGGGAAGCAGCCACTAGCCAGGTATCACACACACACACACACATGCATACAAAAATGATGCCAGCAAAAAAGAAAGAAAGAATAATTTCTTTGTTGGGTTGCCAGCATAACCAGAGGAAAGCTGGCCTATAAACAGAGGTCCAGGCTAGTGAAGAGAAGGACCATTTTCCCCAGATTTTGACAGCATTTATCATTACTATTAATTTTTAAGTAAGCTTTTAAAGCATAACATAGAGATAGAAAAGTGCACAGATTGTAAATGTATTTTCACAAAGGGAACACATTCCTGTAACCGCCACTCAGATGAAGAAACAGAATATTACAAGTATCCCAGAAGTCACCTCACACTCCCTTTCCAGTTATTTTCCCCTCAAATAACCACCAGCAGAATTTCTGTCACCATGGATGACTTGTTTCAGGCAAAATGGGTGAGGTTTTGTTTGTCTGTTTTCATTTGTTGTTGTTGCCTGCCCTATAGGGAGGATCTTGGACTGTTTTTGAGGCAAAGTTTAAATACCAGGTCCTATGTCTTTTTAGTGGTGGTTCTCAAAGTGTGACCACAGACCAGCAGCAGCAGAATCAGCTGGGAACTTATTAGAAATATAAATTCTCAACTTGTACCTGGACCCACTGAATTAGGAATTCTGAGAGTGAGGCCCAGCGATCCCCCTCCAGGTAAATCTGACGCAATTTAAGTTTGAGAAGGGTGCTCTATGGGGTCATAAGAAAAAAGCATTGAGCTTGGTTGTTTGCCAGGGGCCCCAGTGGCTGAAGTGAACTTGCTGAAAAGTGAACTGACCTCACCCCGCCCCATCAGTCTCAAAGAAGGAACAAAGAGGATACAGAATAGAGAGGCTTGTGGCTTTTTATAGTTAAAACAAGCAAGCAGCAGAAGTTCTCCATCAAAAGTATTCTTCAGGAATCCCCGAGTAGTTGTTTTTTTTAATCATTTAATTAAACATAGATGTTTGGACCCCATCCCAGACCTATTAAGAATTTCTAGAGGTTGAGGCTGGGTAAAGGCTTTAAATGTTCCACAAATTATATAGATTAAGGATCATGGCAGGCCTTTCTGAGCTCAAGCTCAAACCACCCCCCAAAGAGCTATGCCCGTAGGGGATTGTCACCAGAAAGGCAACACAACAGAGGGCTCTTGGAAAGTGTATTAGTAATCCACTGCTGAGTAACAAATTCCCCCAGAATTAAGTGGCTTAAGACTCCAAACTTTTGGGACTTCCCTGGCAGTCCAGTGGTTAAGACTTCGCCTTCCAATGCAGGGGGTGTGGGTTTCATCCCTGGTCTGGGAGCTAAGATCCCACATGCCTCGGGGCCAAAAAACCAAAACATAAAACAGAAGGAATACTATAACAAATTCAATAAAAGACTTTAAAAAATAGTCCACATCAAAAAAAAAAAAAACCTCCACACTTTTGTTATGTCACAAAAGTTGCTTGAGTGTCTTCATGACATGGTAGCTGGCTTCCCCCAGAGAACAAGAAGAAACTACTATTCCTTTTATCACCTGGTCTCCAAAGTCATATACCATCAGTTCTGATTCATTCCTTCTTTTTTTTCCTTTTTGATTTGAATTTTATTTTATTTATTTTTATACAGCAGGTTCTTATTAGTTATCTATTTTATACATATTAGTGTATATATGTCTGATTCATTCTTTGTGTTGGAAGTAAGGCACCAAGTCCAATGCACACTGATGAGGAAGAGTTAGGCTTCACTTCTTATTTTATTTTATTGTATTTTTTTGCTGTACGCGGGCCTCTCACTGTTGTGGCCTCTCCCGTTGCGGAGCACAGGCTCCGGACGCGCAGGCTCAGTGGCCATGGCTCACGGGCCCAGCCGCTCCGCGGCACGTGGGATCTTCCCGGACCGGGGCACGAACCTGCGTCTCCTGCATCGGCAGGCGGACTCTCAACCACTGCGCCACCAGGGAACCCCAGGCTTCACTTCTTAAAGGGAAGAGAATCAAAGGATTTGGGGACATATCTTAAAACCACTACAGACAGGCCTTGGATGAAGTAAGGCTCTGGAGAGTCTGTCCTGAATGTAAAGGGAGAGTGTTTGGGGTTATGAATCAACAGCCTAGGAAGGGCTTACAGATTTGAGTGAAGAAGGAGAAGGCCATTCTTTCTGACAAGGCTGCAGCTTTGCTGGCTTTATAGATTCTGTAAAGAGACAGAATGTGACTCAAGAGAGGGGTCAGTGCCAACAGGGGGATGAGAAAGAGCCTTTCACTGACAGCATATGGGAGCAGCATGAAATCACCAAAAAATGATAGTGGGTGAAGAATTGTTGGCTCGTCTGGCACAGAAATGATGTCAATTATTTGTGCAATGAATAAATGAAAGAATTCAGTGATCCACGTTCACTTCTCCCTCAACCCAAAGGGGAAGGAGGAAGAAGAGTACCAACCTTTCCTCTTAATACCAATGTACTCTACACACTAAAGCAAACAACAAGTAGCTGGTAGCACGGAAGTCCCCAGAACTTCCGAGAGACAACTCAAGATTCTGGTCAAGGTCATGGAGTGACTCTGTATATATATGGTTACTTATCACACTACCTAGCACACATCTCAAACACACAC